GTAGCCCCATGTAGAGTGCATTACAGTAGTCCAACCCAGAGGTGACCAGGGCATGAGTGACCGTGCGGATCTCTTTCAGGTCAAAATTCTACAGAATGATTATATTGGTGGTCTTTGAATCAAAGGAAGGAAGGAAGGAAGGAAGGAAGGAAGGAAGGAAGGAAGGAAGGAAGGAAGGAAGGAAGGAAGGAAGGAAGGAAGGAAAGATAGTGCAGTGAAGGTCAATGAATATTTGCCAATCATCTCCACCAAAGAAGGTCATGGGAGAAAATTGGCATCTGTGTCATTGATCTTGAATGCACATATGTCCATTTATAAGTCCATGTTCAGAGAGTTACATTTGTATGCAGAATAATAAAACTGAACTGAAAATATAAGAAATTAGACACATAAAAAAAACTTCAAATTCTATTGTATTTGCAAGTGGTCTTTCATGAACATTGGTTTTGTTTCCCTCACAAACATTTTTTCTCCTTTTCAACTCTAATCTTTGATGATGAGGCACACTGTGCATTTGTACTAGGAACCTTAAAAGCTTGTAATTTTAATGACAAGTATCCCAATAGGGAAAAGATTAAAATTACCGACTGCTTACCATGAACCACAAAATCACTTTTCACAGCTGGACATAGCATACACCATTGTGCCTGACACACAAAATCTCAATTAACATGTATTGCTGTAATATCCCATGGTGGCAAACTTGTTAGACCATTTTCATATGTCCCCTCCTTTGGTCTTTATGACACCAGGCAGCATAACTAGAACATGAGGTTACAATTAAATGCATGCCAGGAAATGCTGTTGGCTTTGGTGTAACTGGGGTATCCATATGTTTATATTTCTGGCAAGAAAAAAAAAAGTCTATGTAGATGGAAAGGATGGGAGAGAATTTAATTGAGTTCCCAATTTACATTTTCCAAACACAGATATGAATAGGAATATAGTTACGTGCTGAAATCAAAACTTTTCAACGCACAAGCTGAAAATGTGTATATTAGTAAAAAGCACATTGTCTTAGGGAAAATCACTTGCAAAAATGTGCATATAGGAAAAATATGCAAGAAGAAAGAGCAACATACTCAGTAGTGCTATTGTAAAAGACTTAAGTTTTTAAAAAGCCAGGGGGAGGGAAGGCACTTCATTCACAACCAGAGACTAGAGATTGTGTCTTTGCCGTGTCCCAAATTCATTCTGACCTGAGCACTGCTCCATTTCTATGGTGATCTGGCACTGACATGGCAGCCACAGGGCCAGAAGGAACGCAGGAAAATAGTGAAGGTTGATTTGGCTGCCCAGGTGTTGATTTAAATGTTTATGAATGAATGAATGAATGAATGAATGAATGAATGAATGAATGAATGAATGAATGAATCTGTAAGGGAAACTGAACCCAGCACTTGAGAATTCTGTCTAAATACTCCTGTCGAACCCCCTCCTGAAGGGAAAAAAAAAATCTTAATGTTGACAGAAGCAGAATTGTTTTGCAGAACTGGAGAAAGGACTTGGCCAGTCACTAACCATTTCATTACCAACTTGCATAGCACAAATATCTCAGAGTCCTGCTGGATTGGAGAAACATATAAGTCCAGTAAATACATGAGATAAATGTATTTTCAGCACCAGTTGGCCATAGTTATGCATGTGTATTTAGAGACAGTTTGGGATTCTTTTTAGTGGGATATCTGTCTTCAAACTGGTCTGCAGAAATTCACCCACGTAGATGCATACATGAATCTGTTCTTCATAAAATGTACTTTTCATATTCAATGGATCTGTTCATAATGAAATGTCTTCATCTGGTAAGAGTTCCACATGTGACCTAGTATAAACAGGACTAATTTGAAACAGGAGATGTCCTAATTTAATTTTCTTGGAACATCACCTCATGCTGAAAACAAACACAGCCAAAAAAAGAATTCACAATCTCCAAAGAAACAAGGAGAAAGATGTTTTACAGCGGTATTATTGCACAAATTTTAATTTAATTTTGATTTTTTATTTTGAATGTTCACCTCAGGTAAGGAACATTTGTACTTTAGAATCAGAAAGAAAATCAAGAGAACTAAATCATCCAAAAATTACAAATATGCCAGTGATACAGAAATTAATACTCTGAACAAATCTATTCCTCTGTTTTCTCAGAAAATTAGTTCTTCTCTGAAAGATATTTCTATTTTCTATTTATATTTATTTAGAAGTAGCTCAGAAGGTTTTTAGGGCAGTTTTGGTTGTTGTTACAAACTGGCAGAGGAGGCAGTGATGTGTTATTTTTTCCTTTTTCTATTATACATCTTTCCATTTCTGTGCAGTGTCTCTGATTGCCTGTAATTGTAATCTGAAAAAGAGCCATGTGAAGAGTTCTCCCATAATGTCTTCCCCTGGGATTTAATCATAGCACAGGAAGCCAGAGAGATTCCAGACCTCTGAGAGATGATTGTACAATGAAAGCCAGGATGCTCCAACGCCCCCCCTCCCCCCGTATCTCCAACCATGAGGAAAAAAAATCATTTTCAATCTTTTTTTTAAAAAAAAAATAGTTGAAAATCAATGTGTATTTTTCCAAGAGATTGAATGAGATAATTTGAGAAAGAAACTGAAGAAATATTTGGCACAATAACTAAGCCAACAGAGAAGACTTGTAAAATTAGCATTGACGTTAATGTAATCTATCTGCATGCTTACAACTGGTAGAATTGAAAGAACTTAGAACTCATCCATTTGTAGCCCTCCTGATGACAGAAGAAGCTTGAGATTGTCATGTGAGCCATCTAAACCAGGGGTGGATCAGTTGAGGGGATGAGACTGTAGCTTAGCATCCCAGCCTTCCAGAGAGCTACAGGAGGCTAGGTGGAGATGTGGTGGCATCCTTAGCAGGGACAGGAAGAACATTTTTGGACCAGTTAGTTTGCTTTTGCTGGGAATGAGAGTAGGAGACCACTGGGAAGCAAATATCTCTGAAATTTGGCCATTTTGCCTCATATTTTGCTCATAAAATTTGTGGATGACACAAAACTGGGAGGGGGATTGCTAATACCGCAGAAGACAGACTCAAGATTTTAAAAGATCTTGATAGACTTGGACATTGGGCCCTATCCAACAAAATGTTGTTCAGTGGTGAGAAATGTAAGGTTCTGCACTTAGGCAGGAAAAACTAGATGCACAGAAACAAGGTAGGCTGTACCTGGCTTAGCAGCAGTACTTCTGAGGGGGATCTGGGTGTCTTGTAGACCACAGACTCAGCATGAGTCGGCAATGTGTTGCAGTAGCCAAAAGGGACAATGCAGTTTTGGTTGCATTAATAGAGGCATGGTGTCAGGATCACAGAGAATGATAGTACTGATAGTACCTGGTAAGGGGCTTGGAGGCTAAATCCTATGAAGAACAGTTCAAGGGTATGGGTTGTTGTTTTTTTTAGATTTTTTTTTTATCCCACCTTTATTATTTTTATAAATACGGCAGCGAACATACTAATACTCCTTCCTCCTCCTATTTTCCCCACAAAAACAACCCTGTGAGTGAGTTGGGTTGTGAGAGAGTGACTAGCCCAAAGTTACCCAGCCAGCTTTCATGCCTAAGGTGGGACTAGAACTCACAGTCTCATGGTTTCTAGCCTTAACATTAGACCAAACTGGCTCTCTGTGCTTAGCCTAGAGGAGATAAGGGTATGGAGGTACTTGATAACAATCTTCCAATACTTTAAGGGCTGTCACAGGGAAGAGGGTGTGGGTTTATTCTCCATAGCACCTGAGGTTAAGAAAAGAACCAGTGGGTGGAAGCTTCACATAGGGAGATCCAAACTCGAAATAAGAAGGAATTTCCTGACCCTGAGAACTATTAAACAGTGGAAGAACCTGCCTCCTGGAGTTGTGGGTGTTCCGTCATTGGGGGTTTTCAAACTAAGTTTGGAGAACCTTTTGTCTGGGATGGTATATGGACTCCTGCTCTGGGCAGGGATTAGACTATGGTTCTGTGATTTTCTGCCATAAAAAGATTGCACCTAATTGCTCAAATTCTCAAGACAAATACAGTACCACTTACTGTGAAAGATATAAGTTTTCAGGCTGATATATATGACTCAGATGAACCTCAGCCAGAGATAATTTTGAAGGGCTGGCCCAAGTTCTTTGGGACCCTGACTTAGAAAATCCAACTGGAACTTACTCGTGTGTTAATATAAGCGCATACAAAATTGTTTACATATTGTTCTTCTATGAAAAACAAAAACTGCATTTTGCTATTGTCCAACTCTGTATAAAAGTAGGGCCAGTCTTGTAAATTTGCTGATACATTAATGAATTTGCTTTCTTTCTCTGTCTTTTATAAGGTCAACCCAAATAAAAACTTACTCTTGGGACAATGCCCAGGTTATTTTGGTCGGCAATAAATGTGACATGGAAGAAGAACGTGTAATCTCTGCTGACAGAGGCAAACATTTAGCAGAGCAACTTGGTAAGAAAAGACTGGACAACAGGGAATTCTGCATACCATTCTGGAGAACGTTTGCTCATCCTACTCCTCCAGATTTCTCTGGTAGAACTTCTGGAAGGGCTTCATACATGTATAGTGTAATGTTCCTAGTTCTCTTGATTGTTAGCAAAAGAAAATGAACTGAAAAATATATGACATGTAAGGAAAAATGGCTCTCAAAATAGATCAATTAGAAAATACAACTGTCCAATATATATGAAGTCAGTGACTTGAGAGGAGAATGATTCTGACTTTGTATGCCATGCTCTGCTGCTATTTTTCAAAAAGAATACAACCTATAATAAAGTTGCCAGATAAAAAGATATTGGGTGACCGGCAAAATTTCACATGGTTGGGTGTGGATGATTTGAAGTGTTTTCTCCTCCCATAAATAGCTGTCTGGTACTTAGTCTTCATCGGAACTTTTCTATGTGTCCCATTAAACAAGTATAGTAGAGGAAGCTTCTCAATATAGATTTGTATCCTTCATCTAATGGAGGGTGATAGCAGAAGGGTGGAACTTTTGTTCTTATTAACTTGTGTTAATATAAGCACATACAAAATTGTTTACATATTGTTCTTCTATGAAAAACAAAAACTGCATTTTGCTATTCTTTCCAGTGGATTTTAATTACAGAGGGAATCATAATGCCTGAATGCCGCCTCTTGCCCCTTATTCTGATCAACTTCAGTTTAACAAAAGAGCTGGATTCAACTTCCATCAGTATTTTCTTGAGAGAAAGGGAGGTTCTGAAGATGTTGCTGATCTGCCCATTCTGCAAAAAGTCCAGCCCAGATTCAGTGGATATGAACAACTTCTATCCTATCTCCAACCTCCCCTTTTTAGGAAAGGTGGTAGAAAAAGTGGTGTGGCTACAATTACTGAGGGCTCTGGGGGATACAGATGATCTTAATTCCCTAGAGTCCAGTTGGAGTGAAATACTGCATATGTGTAATATAATATATATATAGGTAGTTCTCATTTAGTGGCAGTTACAACAGTGATGAAAAAGTAACTTTTAGACCAGACCTCCCATTTACAACCTTCGCAGGTCTGTAAAGCAAAGAAAAGCTGAAGTAAGATCATAAGCACAGTTGTAGTTTCACTTAGCAACCATTTTGCTTAACGACTAAATTGCCAGTCCCAATTGTTGTCACCAAACTAGCACTACTTTGTGTGTGTGTGTGTCTGTGTGACTATAAAAATATCCAAAATAAAACTCACAATAGTAAAAAGTAGAAGTGTTAGCTTTAAAAAAACAAATCCAGAAACCATACTAGGTTACAATCTAATTTGAAATATGGAAATATATTCCCATATTATAACTAAGGAGTTATTAAATGCAGATTCCTCTCTGTGGTGAATGGTTTTCCTTCCTGAAGAATGCCTTTGGCTGAGTGGCTTTTGAGATGGTTGCTTGCAGACCCTTGAGGAATCCCAGGACTGAAGGCTAGTCTGGAAAAAAACATCTGGGAAGAAGGCATTGAAAAATCACTTCCATAACACTGCCAAGAAAACTATAGGGTTGTGTCCATGTGATCATTTGACTCCAAAGTGTCTTTATGTTAGTGCTTCCCTCACTGGAAATCAGAGAACATCCTGAATTTCTGGTGCAACGTTCCCCTTGGTCTTAGCTTTTTGTTTTGTCTAGCATCTTGCCAGATGAATAACTGTAGAGAACTCAAAAATATGCATACTTAACCCTTGCAACCCTTGATTTCATCTAATAAAGATATTTATTACCTAATGGAGACCCAGTTTGGTGTGGTGGTTAAGGTACCGGGCTAGAATCCGGGAGACCGTGAGTTCTAGTTGTGCCTTAGGGATGAAGCCAGCTGGGTGACCTTGAGCCAGTCCCTCTCTCTCACCCCTAGGAAGCAGGCAATGGCAAACCAGTTCTGAAATCTTGCCAAGAAAACTGCAGGGACTTGTCCAGGCAATCAGCAGGAGTCAACACTGACTCAAAGGCACCCCCCACAAAAAATTCCCTAAGGGGTCTGTGCAGAATTTTAGATTTGAAGGAGAAAAGTGCTCTGGAGTCGATGTGGATGTAACACTTGTCAGTGCCTTTGTACACTAACCACATCTTTACTCAAGATTATGCAAAGCCAACTGCACAATCCTGGGGAAAGACACAGCTCCTATAAAGAGTTGCTAGCAGGTGATGTGTGATTACAGTTCTGAAGCACTTTTTTTCCTCCTTCAAATCCAGAGCATTGTCCTATCCTCTAATATGGTTTTTGGAATTCATGACAATATAGTCTAGAGGCATTCCATGGTTTGCTCCCTATTTTCCCACAAAGATCTGAACTAATATGAAATTGATGGAGCTGGCTTCTTTCTCCAGTCTTGTGGGAAACAAGACAATGCAACAATCGTTGTATTAGCTAGGAAGGCATGCTATATTTTCCTTACTAATTTCCTTAGTTCTTTAGCTTTTGTTACCCCTTTCAGCTACCCTTTATAAACCTTGTCCAAAAGAGAGATGATACCAGAAGATAATGTTTGATGACATCAGTGTTTTTGGTCTGTTTCACTAGGTTTTGAGTTCTTTGAGACAAGTGCCAAGGACAACATCAACGTCAAGCAGACTTTTGAACGGCTTGTGGATATCATCTGCGACAAAATGTCTGAAAGTCTGGAGACAGATCCTGCTATTGCTGCTGGTAAACAGAACACAAGACTAAAGGACACCCCTCCACCACAGCAACCCAACTGTGGCTGTTAATAACATCATTGTCAACCAAGGCAATTTCAGTGTGTTCTTTGGCCAATAGAGTATTTACATAGGTCTATATGCCTTTATTTTTAACGTCTTACTGGTTCATTTCAGGGGAGTATATCTCTTCTTTAATGTCCACTGCTGGTAAAAGATGTATTCAGAGTTACAAATGTGTAAAGAAAGGACACTCCAGTTTCTCTGCATTTGGCCTCAACACCTAGGTGATCTTTCCCTTTCTTCCTTCTAAATCCATCGCTGCTTCAGCTGGTGCTGTGACCTCAGTCACAAATTCTCTCTGGTTTTTACTCTTCCATCATCCATTTTTAGTTATTGCTATTTATTCTAGGGCAATGACCCAGTAGTTCAGAAATACAACTCCTATTACTCAGCATTCTGAATCAATGTAAAAACTGCTGGAAAGTAGCAATGTGATTCTGCACGTGCAGCTAGATAACTACCATCTAGATAACCATCTAGATAACTTGCCAGAAGCTGAGTTCTCAAAAATGGCTCAATGTGGCAGGTGACTGGGCACTTTTAGAGAAACATATTGTCTCCCCAGATAATTACTCCCCAGCCAGGCTCTCATTTTCATTATAAATGAGGTCTCCTATTCAGAGCCAACGTACATAATTTCAGAAATAAGCTTTGTAGAATCTTGTTGCCTGTCCACTTCTAATAGGATGTTTTTATCATCGAAACTGATTATTTGGCAAGGTCCCATCTATCATTTAGACCAGAATTTCTGCATACAGTCCTTCCAAAGCCTTAGATGCAACTCCCACAGTCCTTCCAAACATTTCCACCATATTGTGATTCTTAATGTGACTGAATGAGAAAATTATTAAATACTGTACACCTAGGGTAATTACATTGCTTGCATATCATTTTATTACACTTCAGTTAAAATTAAATTAAATGTAATTTTTGCTCTAACTGCCCATTTCTTTGCTCTGGTCCACCAATTCATTGTAGTGCACCACAGAATCCCAGGTAAAGTGGACTCTTAGCCAAATACTATTGCACAGTTCTTATTTAGATCACATTTATGCAAAGTTTAATTCAGTTTCATTAAAAAACCTAATGTATATTCTGTATTAATCACATGGAGAGGATTGTTAAGAAACCCTGTATGAAATAGATAAAATCCAGTTTGAATTGTCAATGTGATTCAGAAAATTGATCTAATTTTATTCCAATGCTCAAATCAAATAATTTACATATATTTAAGTTGAATTTTCGGATCCATTTGGAGAAGGCTTGCAAATCATCTGAAAGGATTTAGAGACTTCCAGTCTGATTCAACTAGTGGAACTGACTGACCTGCTTAATTTGGAAAATCAGTTTAATTCAGACATTCAAATGTGAATAATAAAATGTACAAGGGGTTATTTTTTTCCCCATGGTACCTCTGTCACTAGAGAAAAGGAGACAGCAAGATTCCATCTGCAGACTTCTGAATCCTTACAGCATCCAAGGAGACCCCCAAAGTTGCAAAACCTCTTGTGAGATTTTAGCATTCTCACATATCATCTCAGGGGATTTGATTTCAGGCATTTTAAAAAAATAAAAATAGGGACCCATACTATCATATGAAATTGCACAATGGCACCTGACATCTAGAGAGGAGGTGCTGCCCCCTACTTGCACTATACAAAATAATTTAAGATTTCCAATACAGTTCATGTGTTTGTCGTCATTTCAAACACAGACATATAAAATTATTGCAGTCATTCTTTAAAGGGCTCAGCAAGTTTATTTAAAAAAAAACTTTACAAGCATATATAATCCATGAGTGATGAGAAGCTGCTGATAATAGATAGCATCAACATTTAAGAAGCATGATAAGAAGAAAGTGATTTCAATGTGCTTTCATATCAGTTTTATATACATGGGACCCGTGATCTTTAAAGTACATTGTTTATATTGTCCCTATGGAATATACTTGATCATGAAAGAGTAAATCATTGAACCTTTTAGTTTTATAGAAGTACAGCCAAAAGTTACTGGCATGCTGCTGCTGAAGATATCTGCAGTGATCCTGTGTCACAGTAGATTGTGCATGTCATTTTCCATTGCTAGAGAAGCTCTTCCACTAGCTTAGATCAGCAGCTCCAACATTTCCTTTTTTCCTTTATGTTGGCCATTATATGGCCATAACACATTCTGAGGACCACCACATAGCAACAAGAGTCAGCAATGTAGTACCTGCAACCATATTGTGTCCATGGAACTCTTATGTGTTTAAGGACCAGCCTTATAATTTTTATGGGATACATTTATTCTATCAGAGGATGATTACACTGGAGACTCTTCTATTGAAGAATTGCATTTCCGATTCCTAAAATGGATACTAGATTTAAATGTTATTTGTCATGGAAAAATTATTTTTCTTATAAGGATTTGTTTTCCCTTTCCATTGCCACTTTCATTAATATCATCAGGAGCTGTATGAAAAGTCTTGTCCGAATCATTAGTTTTTAGTGATAATTTGACCCTGGACTGTGATTATTGTAAATTTAAGGAGATTATCTGATTTTGGATGGTTTGAATACTATTATTATTAACCACAACATTAGTAGCAACAGGATATTCAACATTCACAAAAAAATAGATTACATGAAATAATTATAAAATCTCTAGATGAATTTACCAGGGCGGTGTGCCAAATATTTTAAATATAGTCTCCTTTGCCAAGATATTTACTTCACACTATGTTAATTAATTCCCACTCTGGCAATAGGAAGCAATTTTATCTCATCTTGCAGTGTTCCATCTTCACTACTGCGTTGGGTCAAACGCCTTCAAACAAGTGTGACTCCCAAATAAACATTAGATGTTTATTGATCTTCATTATATCATATTTTAAATATGGATTAAACTCCAAATTGTTCAATCCTGAGTAATAGATGAAAATTAAAAACAAGAAAATCCCTTCTATATATTTGATTGTTGTTGCTACAGAAGAAGAATAAGATTTAACCCAATATTTCCCATGTATTGATACACTGATGGATTTCTAGAATTTCTGGCCAGCATAACCATGGGTGCATATTAATAGGGGAAGCATATCTCTCTTGGCCCTGTGCTTATTTATATATGTGTGACATATATGTATACACACAAAAACACCCATATTACCAGCCTCTGTCTCCTTTCCCGCTTCAAATTGATGACCAGCTATTTAAAATATGTGTATTTGGGACTAAGCTCTTTAAATGCTAAAAGGTTGTTACAAAAGCATGCAAATAACCAATAAGGAGCATTTGGACATTCAGTGTCCATACTTTTTGCATAGTTCAGGCAACCTCATACCACTACTAGTATCTTCTCCTTCTCTTAACTGGGCCTAAAGTTTCAGAGCTTCTTTTGATTTTGGCTTCTCAGGGCCCATTTCTTTAGGTAGAGATTATGTTGCTGGGTTTTTTACTTAGTGTAAGTGCAGGGACCTACTCCAAACTGAAACCTGAAGGAAGGGGAGGGGAATTTTACTTTTTGTTCCCCACTGGGATCCTGATGTGACCAGGGGCCACCAGGTTCCTGCAATTTATATTGCCAACTGTATTGGCAGCAGGATAAACTGCAGCATGGAGGCCAGTTCAGACTAGAATGTAGCAGTTAGCAATTTTTTAAAAAGTGAATGCAGGTTAGACTTGCTGGAAGTGGTAAATATGTGTGTAGACTGCACCACTTCAGCCTGTAGGTGGAGGCTTTTATATGCATGATATTTGCATTTGCATTTGAATGTATATGCATACATTTTTTCTAATATACATCATCTCATATGCAAAGAATATGTAGCATATGCATTTTGTGCACAAGTGACGTGCATTTCAAAGAAGTTTACAGTCCACAGGATAATTTGTTATCTTTTACAGATGAAGTGCAGATTGTTGATTCATGTAAAAGTTACAGACCAAATAAAATTTTCTCCTATCATTAGTTGAAACCATAGGAATGAATAGGAGTTTGCTGTTGTTGTTCCATGATTCCTAGTGAATTAACTTTCTCTGGATAGAATCTCTTAAATGCACTATAAATCATTTGAGAATATATACAAAAAGGTTACAAAAATCAAACCGAAGGATAAAAAACTAGATAGCAACCAATATTTTGCTTCCTTATTGTTATGGAATTAATTGAGGTAGGGATTGACTGAGCAAAAAAGACGAGGAAATGGGAAAATAATGTTTAACTAAGGAATTTAATTGGGGAATTTGGGGTAAATCACATTCTTCCTTAAGTGATGTTTTGCTCCCTGCATGAGCAAAAGATTTCTCCACAAAGTCTCATTTTGTAGGTAATCTGAACCCAGATGCGTGACTCAAATGCTCATATTGTCCATAAGCACGTAACACAAATGGAATCTATCACAAAGATCTTACACATCTTGTCAGTAAATTGACAATTGTGGGTTTTAACTCACTTTATGAAATTACAGATGGGCTTTGTCTTTTTGCATGCCATTAATTCAAGATGGCGCTTAAACAAAAAACTTTATACCTTGAATTAATGGCACGCAAAAAGACAAAGCCCATCTGTAATTTCATAAAGTGAGGGCCATTAATTCAAGATGGCGCTTAAACAAAAAACCTGTTTGCTTGATGCCCAAAATGCAGAATAGCTTGGTCTGTCCTTTCTGTCAAAATATTTTCTTTTTTCCTCTCTTAACTGCGATGTATGTGACCGTTAATGGAACCATTTATTCCTTCATACTTATACACAGGGCTTTTCCAAATGATTAATAATGCAGTGGAACATATTTTCTGCGGAATTAATCATCTGTGTTCATGAAGTGCTTCTAGATAGGGATTGTATATTTTCCCGACATTCAAGAAACTATTGTTCTTGGAAAACTGAGATTCTTTTTCCCAGGCTATTGCAAACTAAAGCGCTACCTGAAATATAAAGATGTTAGTATTATAGATTCCTATATGATCAGGCTAATGACATCACTGAAGAAGAATGGCACAGTCATCTTGCTGCTCTAGGTGGTAAATTAGATAGGCTCATGGCTAAGGTAAGAAAGAGAGAGCTTGCAGAGGAGTTAAAACTGATTAAACTCTCCCCCCAGTTCACAGCAAATGTTTAGACCTTGCTTTGAAAGTTCTTGGTGGACTTTCCCTTGGCACTTTGAAATCATGTTCACTTCATATAGCTAATTCCTATCTGGGAAGACCTGAGCAGGCTTTTATCTTTCTTTAATAGGACCACATTCTCCTCCATTTTAAGTGACACTGTTTTGCATTGTTGCCTGTGAACTGAATAAGCCTTCAGTACACTGCATGGTGTAGCCTCCCTTGACCCGGCACCCTTCAGAGGTGTTTGAATACAGCTTCCATTCCCTGGCAAGCAAGCCCGCTGGCTGGCTGGGGAGTAATGGATATTGCAGCCCAATGCAACCAGTGGGCTCCTGGTCAGGGAAGACTGGCATAGAACACTACCTGAATAGCTAGATCTACAGTATGTGGCCTTTCCAGAGCATGAGTCTGAAAGATTAGCTTTTTCTTCCAGGTCAGCTCAGCTCTGACACATCCAGCTGTACTGCCTGCACCTTACTTATTTTAAGAATGAAGTGCTATGCTGCACTATGTTCACTGGAGTTTGCTCCTAACTTGCAACCTTCTTGGAATGTCATGTTTTCTAGGAAACGTAATGGTGGTGCAAGATTCATGTCTGTTGTTGCCATTTTTGTCAGTCACGGTTACTAGAGCTAGTTTTCAATGATAACACTGTGTAGATGGATGTTTTGCTTTTCCTGTTAAGTATTGATATACTTTCATTTGAATATTGATCAAACTGTGTAATTGCTTCTGTGATGGCAAAATCTACATATATCCCCATCCAAATTGTATTAGAGAAACCCAGAAAAATCTGCACTGAACTCCGAATTATCCTACATGAATCCATGTTGAACTGTCAGTAGAAGCAGTCCTAAGCTTGAACTTTTGTCTGTTGACACAAGCCTGTGGCAACTACGTATGTTCATTTTGTCAAGCCAGTGCTATTA